CCCTTACGAGGCCTCCAGCAGTCTTCGAGAATGTCCAAGAGATCCCAATCGGCCGCACAAGGCACACCCAAAGCTCCCAAGACGCGCCCAAAGACCCCGCAAAAACTCCCAAGGAGCCCCAGAAAGGCTCTTCAAGGCCCCCGAGCTGCGATTCTTGCAGGTTTTCAAGCGCCTGGAAGCTTCCACACTGCGCTGTCTTCGGCCGATGTTGGGCCAGGTCTGGGTATTTCGGACGCCAAGACGGCCCAAGATGCCCTCCAGACGGCCCAGACAGTTCAAGATTTCTCCAAGTCGGGCCCGAGAGGCTTCCGAAAGGTATCCAAGTCCAAGAGGCTTCCTAGTGGGCTTCGGGAGACCAACATCTTTCAAACACAGGAAGATAACAATAGGTTTTCGAGGAACTCCCTTGCGACTATCGGCCTCCGACGCTTGCGGATGGTCCCCTGGTGGCCTCCGAGGCGCCCGAGAGAGCCCCTAAGACGGTCGACGGGGGTCCCTAGAACCCTTGAAGATGGTCCCGAGTCGGCCCAGGACGGTCTCCACACGGCCTACACGCTGCATTCCCAACAGGCTTCCAAGAGGTCCCCAGAAGATCCGAATTTGTCAATAACGAAGGGATTTTTTGCATTATTTTTGTTGTTGTTGTTGTTTGTAAAAAAAAACAACGATTCTTCGCTTGCGATGAGCCTCCGAGCCTCAGGATGGTCCAAACATGTTTACAGAGGAGCCCCATTCACCCCCAGGACGGTCGTTCAGAGGACCCCCAGGGTGTCCCACCTGGCCCCGAACAGGCCAAGATTTTTCAAGAACCTAGAGAGCACGATACATCCGATTCCGCGTCTTGGGTTTGCGTTGGACTTGCAATCCTCGTGTTGCCTTGCCGATGACTGCGGATGTTACTGGAGGCCTCCTTCTGAACATCAGGCCGACGACGATGATAATGTTGGCGGTGGCTCTACATGACGATGTTAACGATAGTTAGGACGCCTATGAAGTTGGCGGCGATGACAGTGGCGGCACTCATACTCATGACGATGTTTACCACCCCGCCAGGAGCGCCGTAGCCGGGGAAACAAAGAAGATCGCCCTCAAACAGCCTGATGGGACGGCTTCGGAGGCCTCCAAGAGAGCCCAGTATTCGCCTAACACGGTCCCTACAGGTACCCCAATGGAAAAGACCGTGAAGGTGCTTTGAACCAACGACGGCCCCAGATATCGCCAAGAAGGCATCGCGAGGCCACAAGGAGTCCCCCAGATGCCCCCCCGACGCCCCAGAATGAGCCCCAAGAGGACCCACTGCGAGCTCCGAAGACTCCGAAGCAGTCTCAAAAACGGCCCTCAAAGGATACTGAGGATGTTCCTAGAGGCCTCTCCAGGGACATGTAGTCGAAGTCGACGATGAGATTCTCGAAGTGATCTTTCAACATTCCATTTTTACTCTTGCGACGGGCCTGCAAGTCTGAGGCTGCCTTGCAAACAGCCGTCGATGTCCCCAGAGGCCTTCTTTCTGGTAGCATCTCGCCGACGATGACGACGCTTATGATCTTTGTATGGGCGCTACTTCTGGTGATTCTGATGATAGGACGACGATGATGCGAAGGACGATGACGATGACGACGCTCACGCGAGGAGGAGGAGGAGGAGGAGGAGGAGGAGGAGGAGGAGGAGGAGGAGGAGGAGGAGGAGGAGGAGGAGGAGGAGGAGTTACGATGACGTGTTTCACGCCCGGGGGGCCTTGAACGGGCCCCAGGCTCAAAAAGCAATCCCGGACGGAAAGCCTCTCCCAGGGAAGGTCTCCGGATTTACAGGCTGGAGTTGTGACAAAACCACGACTTTGGATGCCTGATGCCGCCGCCGCCGTCGCGTGGATCGAGGCTGACGGATCGACACTTCTCAACCACCCCCCCGTCGCCATATCCGGCGTTCTCAGGAATCCCTCCCTCCCTCCCTCCCTCCCTCTCCTCCTCCTCCTCGTCCTTCTCGTCCTCCTCCTCCTCCGTGTGGGGGGGGGCAGCACATTCGACCTGGGGGGCATGAGGCACCTCGAGACAGGCCAGGGGAACGGTCCTGCGCGAACTTTGGTCGCACCAAAGACCGTGCGTATCTTTGTGACAGCCCAAAAGTACTGGCAGGCCCATGTGCGACGATGGCGACGAGGGAAAGTAGAAATGAGAGACATTAGGAGGAGAAGGAAGGTGTGGAAAGGTGGAGAATGGAGAGGAGAGGCGGATGCAAGAGGGAGCGGGAATCGGATGAGGAACCCGAGGAGAGGAGTGATCGTCGTCGTCGTCGTCGCTGGCGGCTTCGTCGAATGCAATGACGATGATGCTGAAGATGATGATGCTGATGCTGATGACGATGATGCTGATGCTGATGCTGATGCTGATGCTGATGCTGATGCTGATGGTGATGCTGCTGATGCTGATGCTGATAATGACGCTGATGATGTTGCTGCGATGATGATGATGGTGTGGATGGTGATGATGATTGCGATTATGATGATGGTGATGATGCTGCTGGTGATGATTATGCTGATGATGCCGATTGTGCGAATGGCGACGACGACTGCGATGACGATGATGATGTTAGTGATTATGATGATGCTGATGACAACGATGATGATGATGCGGATGAAGACGATGATGATACTGATGATGGTGATTATGCTGATGACGATGACGATGCTGATTATGAGGATGATGATGCTGCTGGTGACGCTACTGACGACGATGATGATGATGATGATGTTGTTGATGACGACGATGACGATGATGGTGACGATGATACTGATGATGCTGATGATGAAGATGAAGATGATGATGATGATGATGATGATGATGATGATGATGATGATGATGATGACGATGATGCTGATGCTGATGCTGACGATGCTGATGCCGATGATGATGAGCATTATGATGATGATGATGCCGATGATGATGCGGATGAAATGAGACCAGTGAGAATCCTGTTGATGATGACGATGCTGATGATGTCGATTATGATGCTGATGATGACGCTGATGATGCGACGGACGATGACACTAGGTGAGGGTGATGGTGTTTGTGATGGGAATAACGTTGACGACGGCCAACATGATGATAACGGTGATGATGATGGTGATGATGATGGTGATGATGATGCTGATGATGGTGGTGATGATGATGACGCTTATGGTGATGGTGATGGTGATGGTTATGGGAATAGTGATGGTGATGATGGTGATGATGCTGATGATGATGATGATGTTGATGAGGATGTTGATGCTGCTGCTGCTGATGATGATGATGTTGATGGTGATAATAATGCTGACGATGTTGTTGATGATGATGATGATGCTGATAATGCTGATGTGGATGCGGATGCTGATGATGATTCTGATGCTGATGATGGTACTGATGATGAGGATGCTGCTGCTGCTTCTGATGATGATGATGATGATGATGATGATGATAGTGGTGATGATGGTGATGGTAGTGGTAGTGGTTCCTGTGGTGGTGGTGGTGATGATCATGATGGGGATGGTGGTGGTGGTGGTGATGATGACGATGCGAAGAGGACGAGGATAAGGAGGATGAGGAGGAGGAAGAGGAGGAGGAGGAGATGGAGGAGGAGGCGGAGGAGGAGGAGGAGGATGAGGACCAGTGCAAACGCAAGAGTCATCAACGATTTTGGAATAAACCCTCCCTCCAAGCTCCCTCTTCATAGGCCCCTGCAACGGTTCATTTCCACACAGGGAACTGCCTCGTTGGAAGACGACCGCTTGAAGACCCTGAAGCATGCCAAAACATTGTTCTCGGGATTCCAACGCCATGGATCGACCTCATGGTTGCGTCTTGACGATCTTGAATCGTGCCAGAACGCCATTATTGGGACCTCAGCGCCGCGAATCAACGTAATTGCTGCACCCTCATAATCCGGAATCCCTCCAGAACGCAATTTCTGGTAAGCTGACCATTGGAACCCGTGAAGTCTGGCAAATAGAAACATAATGTGCGAGGCGCCAAGGCGAGACCCACATTTTGAAAAGGAGCCACCCTCAATCCGTGAAGCTCTTTCCAATTGAAAAACGATTGTGCGCGGCGCTGAGGCGAGAGCCACATTTTGCAAACGGCTCGCCCTTTATCCGTGAAGCACATTTTTACAACGAGTATGCGCGGCGCTAAGGCGAGAGCCGCATTTTGAAAACGGGTCGCTTTCAATCCGTGACAGTAAGTTTTTACAGCGAGTGTGTGCGGCGCTAGTGCGAGAACCACTTCCGAAAACGGGTCGCCCTCAATCCGTGAAGCTCTTGCAAATTGTTCAAACGAATGTGCACGGCGCTAAGGCGAGAGCCGCATGTTGAAAATGGGTCGCCCTCAACCCGTGAAGCTCTGACATAAAAAACGAATGTGTGCGGCGTTAAGGCGAGAGCCACAGTTTGGAAACGACCCGCCCTCCATCCGTGAAGCTGTTGCTCATGTTTAAGTTTCAGGGTCATAAATGATGAGGACGTCTCAGGCGAAACGCCCAGATCGTCCTAAAAACTGGCTTCGGGGTGCGACAGGGAGAAGTTATTTATAAGGAAAAGGAAAGGATTATGATGATGATGATGATGATGATGATGATGATGATGATGATGATGATGATGATGATGATGATGATGATGATGATGATGATGATGATGATGATGATGATGATGATGTGATGAGAGGAGGAAGGCGGAGGCGTGAGGAGAGGCGGAGGCGTGAGGAGGGAGGAGGGAGGAGGAGGAGGAGGATGAGGAGGAGGAGGACGGGAGGAGGGAGGAGGGAGGAGGGAGGTGGGAGGAGGGAGGGAGGGTAGGGAGGAAGGGAGGAGGAGGTAGGAGGAGGGAGGACAGCGAGAGCCGCGTCGCCGGCAGGAGGAGCGAGGAGGAGGAGGAGGAGGAGGAGGAGGAGGAGGAGGAGGAGGAGGCGGAAGAGGAGGAGGGGGAGGATATTGGGAGGGGGACGAAACTGAGGAGGACCAGCGGCCCGCAGGACGTCTCCGACGCGCACGCGCTCGCAGAGGAGCCCCTCGACAACTTGACGCTCGCGCGCCCGGCACAGGCGCCCCTCCCTCCTTGCCTTACCGCTCCCGCTGCTCCTCCCCAAGAGCGCAGTCAGGCGAGTGGCTGCAGTCAGTCTGCCACTCAGGTTCAAACAAGCGCGCTCCACTTCTCCCAGAAGTATCTATACTCGCAAATGGCCTGGATCCACTGCGTCGAGGCAAACAGGCTCCACTGCATCGAACAACGCTCGTTTTTGATGACGTTTGCGAGCAGGCACTATGCGAGTAGTGGAACGCGCTCGGTGACAGGTGTCTACGTGTTGCAAGTCTTGATCGAGGAGCTTCAGACACCCCGAAGTTTTTTCATTTGTTCGTCCTCGCCTCCGCTCCCTCCGTCGCTTCCTCCCGTCGGCAAAGCGTGCGAGACCGAGTGATGGCGCTGAGGCCTCGTCTCGGTGTCGCCCTTCCCGCGGGCCGGAGCTTCCAATCTCGACGGCCTCGAACGAGGCTATGCTCATCAGCTCGGCATACACCGCGGGTCCGGATCCATTGCCTCCTCCCTTGTATGACCTCCCATCTTGCCTACACCCTCCACTCCCCCCGTTCCAACCCCCTTCCCCTCCCTGCCCCTCCCTCTCCCTCTACTCCCGTCCTGCTCCCCCCTCTACCCTCCCACGCCATCCCCTGGCTCTGCCTCCCCTCCCCCTCCCGCTTTCCGCCCATCCACCGCTCCCCTCCCCATCCGCCCATCGAGAAACACTCCCAACTCCCAGCGCTCCATGCCGCTCCGCTCCCTCCATCTCTCCCTCCTCCTCCTCCTCCTCCTCCTCCTCCTCCTCCTCCTCCTCCTCCTCCTCCTCCTCCTCCTCCTCCTCCTCCTCCTCCTCCCCCCTCCCTCTGCATCCCTGCCCGCTGCTGGTCGTGCCGCCTGGGCTCGAGCGCCTCCCCCGAGGCTCCCGCCTCCGCGGGCTGCCGTGCACGGCGGCCGCCGAGGCGGGCCTTCGCGAACGGGCTCGCGCACTGGCCGAGGGAGCTCGAGGCGACCCCCCTGTGTCGGGGCTGGACAGAACCCCCAACAGTGACACGTCGATTAGTGAATTGTCCGTTTTCGGTTCTCGAGAGGGCGCCGTGGCCGTTATTTTCCAGGCTTGCGCCCGCCAGGTTTGGGCCTCAGGCCGTTTTCACTAAACCACGTTTTACTAAAGGGGGGTCTGTCCATCCCCGATGAGAGAGCATCAGGAATGGACGAGTCGTTTGTTTTGTGGCAAGTGAGCTGTGGTAGCGACGTGCGCCAAGCATGGGCAACGCGGGACTTGCCACGGTTATCGCATTCGAGCTGCTTGCGCGCTGGGACGCGAGCAGGTACGCGACGGTCGCGCTGCTCACTCCACGCCGCCTGACCGCCCGCACGAACAAATCAAGAAGCAGTGGAAGGTGGTGTAGTCCAAGGAGGTATGACTGCTTCGTCGGCATATCCTAGCTTATACATCGACGACCGCACGGCCATCCCGCGAATACATGCGAGCATGGGCGCGACTTGTCGG